TCTCTAATCAATTTGGTGGCCTTATCTGACCTCACTCCAACAGCTCCATGACCTTCCTGTGCTGGGGACACCTGATCTGCATGCAGCCCTGCAGCTGGGGTCACACTTGATGGGGCAGAGAGGCAGAATGCCCTCCCTCCCTGCTGCCCACAGGGTTCTGGATGCAGCCCAGGGCAGAGGAGCTTCTGGGCTCCCAGTGCCCATTTCCAGGTCACGTTGGGCTCCTCATCAACCAACATCCCAAGCCCTTCTCCTCAGGGCTGCTCTCAATCCATCCTCTGCCCAGCGTGTATTTGTGCCTGGAACAAAGACAGCAGACCCAAATCAGCTGTCAGGGTTCTCACTCTCATTTGTTAACTGCAGGGATGGGTGCTTTGGTGTGAGAACCCCGGCCTTGCTCTGGGGTCCCATGTGGTGGTGAAATTCCTCCTCCAACCCGTGCTTCCAAAGAAAAACTGTGCAGGCTCTTGCTGTTCAGTCTCAAGGTGATTTATTGTGAGTTATCTAAAAGATTTTCTTCTTGGGCTGTGGCTGCTTGGTTAGCAGCCTGGGCAGAGGCACACACACACCCTGACATCCTCTCTGTCTGCTGTCTTCTTCTCTCCCCCCGCCCAGGGCTGCTGCTATCTTTTATATGATATATTACATATTACATGTTTATAGTTTTCCCCCAATACCTACTACCTATATTACCAAGTGCTTTTCTACTCTAAACCAATCTGTAAGTGCCAAAATCACCAAGAAGGCAAGGTGATGGAGGCAAGGAAGAAGAAGGAGGAAGAACAGGATCAGCCCACTTTCCTCCATCTTAGAACTTCTGACCCCCATGTACAAAGTAAAAACCCCCCTGTGCAGGTGTTAAAACCCCCCTGTACAATACTAAAAAAATTTCCCCTCTGTTTTGTAACTACTTTTACTATACTATCTAACCCTTTGTGACTGCTTGTTCCACCTCCAAAGTTGGTAATTAATTCCATGGCTCAAACTCAAAATCACAGCTGTTTCCAGCTGTCTGTCAGGGTCTAAAATGCTTCTGACCAAGGCCTGGAACCTCTAAAAATGTCTGAGAGACATTCTGAGTTCCAACACTTTGGGGTCTAGCACAGTGCCAAAGCAGTGGGTAGCAGATCCCATGGAGGGGGAGCAGTACTCCCCAGAGCTGCCTCAGGGAGAGCACCAGCAATGTCACCTCTTGAAAATTGCTTTTTTCTTTCATCTTCCCTAAGGCCCACGTGCATAAGCTCTGCTTACAGGCAGCACAGCTGATGGACCTAACCATGGGAATGCCACAAAATGGGAAAACACAGTTAAACCTGAGGGCTTTCCTTTAGTAGCCTTCACAGGGGCCCCATCTTGGCCTATGCTCCATTATGCCCAAGTCTGGCATGTTTTGAATAGCAGGAGGTTTCTTTCAAAGCTTTATTAACAGCAGTGCAAATTCTCTCTGACTGCTGCAGACATTTTTGAGATAAACAAAATGGAAGTGGATTTATTTAAAATTAATTCCCCCAAGCGACTTAAGCAGTCGCTCAAATCAGGATCAGTTTAATACTTTTATTTAAATAGCCATGAAAACTTTTGAGAAATGAGAGTGTAGGAAGTGAAGACCAATTCATTTTTAACACCTCTAAGTCTAGGTTTCAAAATCACTTCCATCCAGTTCTTGATAAGCAACTGCTGAATGCATAAGACTTTTAGAGGGGTGACTATGGGGGTGATACCAGGAGAAGAAGGGGCTGGCCACCAGGGGTACCACAACTAATGAGGAAACAAAGAAAGGAGAAACCAGAGGAAGCTGGGACATATAGGGACATGAACTGGGATGGATCAGCAAGAGTCCATGGGGAAGTCTTTTCCATCTGCCCAGGTGGAGAGAGACTCTATGGTAAATCTCTCCAGGGGAGGGCTCTGAGGAAATCCATGAGGGGAAAAGATCCTGAGGATTCCACACTCTGGGACATATAGGTGGGGCCAGAGACCTTCTATTTAGGTAGCAAAGATTAGGCTGAGGTTGGTGGCTTCTCCCTTGGGAGACCTGTTAAAATTCTTAAAAAATCATCTTTAGCCAATTAATTGTAATACAATGGAACCAGACCTCTGTCTGCTTTTTAAACCAGCAGGTGCTCCCAGGAGTGGCTTTGTGCCATTTGCCTCCTACCAGCTAGCAGTAAACCACATGGATTTTAAACATCAGCTATTCATCCTCCCAGCCTTGGAGAAGAATTTGGATTTGTCTTAGCTGAAGTACTGTAGTGTGAGGCTTTCTCTGCCTTCAGGATCCTCCCTATGTTCTGGCACAGAAACACAACCTTCAGGGAGTCACCTGAGAGAGGAGGAATTGGGCTGATGGACAGAGCAAAGCCCTAGGATGAGACTGGGTCAGGATCAGGGGCAGCAGGTACAAGTCCATTTTGCTGTTAATACCTTCCTGTCTGGTAGTTTAATGATGAAAGAAATGAAATATTCAGGAAAACTGCTATGAGCTATGGTGAAGCACTGAAGGGAGCTGCTGCTTGTCTTCCCCCACAGTGTCAGAATTAAGAAAGTTGAGTCACTCCTGTGCTTCTGAGAAAGGCATTTCCATCCAGCTGCCCACTGCAGCACCTTCCTGCAACAGCACCTGCTTCCCTGATGCTGCCCAGAGGGCACCATCCCACTTTCCTGGTAACACCACAATGGGAATTGGGAACTCACTGTGGGAGCATCATGTGTTTGCTCAGGAGCTCCTTTAGTAACAGTAGTTTTATTTTCAGATAATGTGTCCTAAATATTCAGTACATGCATTTCTGCAACAAAAGACAACAGCAACAACAACAACAAAAAAAAAAATCTGAACAGCTGTTCCTTTGTTGTTCAGCAAAAAAAGAAAACCAAACTACAAAGCAGCTCTCCAAGGTCACATTATTCTTTCACAGCGGGGGAAATGGAGAGGCTTGAAACATTTTAGTGAGCTTGAGAATTTACTGTGGTGAGTTTTAGGATATGAGCTTTGCTGCCTTGGGATGAGAATCTTGCTGAAGGACACATAGCTGCACTATTGCTGCTTGAACTTCTCCACAGAAATCCAGAAGCTACAACATGGGCTGCCCAAATTGCAGAATGTCCTATAGTTATGGATGACCTCAGAGAAGATCCCAAGAAAGGAGGGAACATTCTCTGTCCCCTCACTGGTACAAGAGTAAGGCTTGTCTTAATATCACTCCTTTAAAAACTACAACCTGTTTTTCATGCAAAGCAATTGTGCCTCTTAACCTGATCTGTGCTGAGGAAAATTCAGTCTCTGGATTATTGGAGAAGTGGTGTGTGCTCATTGAGATATGCCATTCCTCAAACAGATGAGAGTTCAGAAATGCTTCCCAGGTGTTTTAAAAACCTATCAGCCTTCCAATTCTGGTTCTAAGAGCTACTGAAGGGAGAAACTGCTTCAAGTAGTAGATTACCAAGGTGACCTACAGCTGTGGATTGAGTCAGCTCATCAGATGTTTCCTTGCAGCAGAGTGGGGAAGATGAAATCTGCTGTTTAACAGGTGACATGCAGTCCTCTGATGTCAGTCTGTCTTTTGTCCAGTGGGGAGATGCCCAAAGAGGTTCAATGCTCTGGCATATCTCAGTTTACTTGACCTGCACCTGATTCCAGGATGGAGGGAAAGATCCAAGTCTGCTGCTGCTTCTGCACCAAACAAATGGTGCACTCCCCAGCTGATAATTCCCCTGTCATTGCTGATTATGTGTCCTGTTGCTTTGGTTTTTTCATAAAATTAGGGTATCAGGCTGCTTCTCAATCATTTTTATGCTGTGTGTTTGCTGCCAACACATCTGGCTCATAAGGAAGCCAGCCATCCTAATACTCATTAGTGACAAGCAGAAAACCTCACTGCCATTGCAGGCTTCTGTAGTCACCACAGCCAGAAAACAATCCACTAATTATTTGGTTTGGAGGAATCTGAAATTCCTTTGGGTAAATGAAAAGTTCCATGGTTTGTTGAGATCAGAGTAAAGGTTGCTTTTGGGGTATGGGCAGCTTTGAAGTTGCAACAAGCTCTGTCTGCAAACCTCAGTGTTTAAAAGAGACATCCTGTCGAGTCCTTTAGTCCTGCTGGGGTTTGGATGCTGACATCATTAAGGACAAGAGATGTGTTGTGGTTCAATGCAGAAAAACCATGAGACACTGACCCTTGAACATGTGTTACTTGATAATTTGTTTTCTTTAGGGCTTCTGGGCAGAAGAAAAGGAGTCAGAACAGGGGTATGTATGGATTTGTAAGAATTTCTGGGTAAAGAATACCCTTATATGAACCCAACAGGTGGGATCCTCCTGTTTGAGCATCATTCTCTTGATGCCCAAATGGTGATACTTTTCACAGTGGACATGTGGTTTGTACAGGGATGGGTTCTCATTTCTGAATCCACTTGTGCAAAGAATGGGCCTAATTGCTGAAAAGATCCCCAGGGTTGATGTTTGGAACAGTGCCTTGGGAACTGATGGGGATCAGCAGAGCTTCACAAGAAAATCTGCCCAGCACCCATTTGCGTTTGTCTGCCTTCAGCAAAAGCTATCAAGTTAATGCTAATTTAAATTCTCACTTAGGCATCTGTAGGTATAATTGCATAAAGCACTGTACATTAAATTACATCCACAGATGGATTTGGATTCAGAGTCTTACAAAAGATTACATATGTTAGCCTATTTCCAAAATGCATTGGCCATATAAGACCCAATGCTATTATGCACCCCTATTTTGCTTGGAAACATAATGATTAACCTTACGCTGAATTAATTATACCTGGTACCAGTTCAGTTCCCACAGCTCTCCCATGTCATTGGAGAGCAGTAGCCTTAGTATTTTATGAACCATTTTACTGATGGCTCCCCAGTCTATGGATTGCCCAGGTTGGTCAGGATGGGTAAATAAAAACCACAAATTCAACAGAAGCTTAAATCTCAGTTGTAACATGTTGTAATTAATCACTACAGCTATGTAATGCCTGGAACCAGGCAGGATCCTGAAAGCAAAGCCAACCTGAAACCTGCATGGAAAGCAGAGCCAGAGGGTAAGTCTCATCTGCATATACCTTGTTTTTAGGACGCCACAGTTGGAGTTTTTTTTAGATTTATTTCACAAAGTACAATCTTTAGAGTGTGTCTTTAAAGAGAAACAATTCCTGTCCCTCAGAACTCCCAAGGAGGACCTGATGTGAGTGTGTGCCTTGATGGCACCAGCAGCATTTCAGTCCCCCCACCAAGGGGTGAGGAGACCTGTCCTGTGACATGGTTGAGTCTCAGGGGGAATTATGTCTGCTGGGCCAATTTGCAAGGGGGAAGTGTCATTGGGCACTTCACAACTTAGTCCTTGAAAAATTGCTAATGCCTAGTTTTGGGTGTCACATAACTTCAGTGGCCTTCTGCTCAGACTGTGCATGCTGCTCTCAGCACTGATCTGTCTTAACACTGCATTAATGTTTTCTCCTCTTTGTGCATGCATAGAATTGAAATCCCTCTTGGGGAGGAAGGCTATTCCGAGTAAATTCCTAAACAATCAGATGAAAAAAAAAACCCTGAAACATTCTTTCACTTGATTTACTACTCCCTGCCAAATGCATATGCTTGCCAGGTCTTGAGCCTGGTACTGGAGCTGAGCCTTGAAGAAGGGATTGTCTACGCAAGGCTTCTCCTTCAGTTTTGGGATCCAGTGCTGATTTCAACCAAGTCTGGTGAAAGAAGTGATCATAAATACACCATATTTCTGTGTGGCTCATGAAAAATAAAGAGCAGGTTTGGCCCAAGGCAGGTGTTGTGGTCAGATCCTGTCTGCTTTGCATGGAGTTTTTGGTCTCTGGGAACCCTCTTGTGTGGGCAGGAGTTCATGCTGCCAGCATTTCCTGCTGGGCTTCACTCTCAGATCCTCCATTAATGACTTTTTAGGGTTATCTGGCTTCACTGGCCAAAGATGCTCTGCTAAGACACTTTCTCCTTCAATTCTTTCTTATCCTAAATCCCAGCTTCTGAAGGCCCAGGGGGACAGTGTTGGCCAAGGGTGAAGCTGTTCTGGGTTTGTTGGTGGTGCTTTGTAGCGAATGCTGTGTTCAGAGAAGTGCTGCTGGTTCTGCTTATCACTTTGACAGGAAAGGAGTGAACTGGGATATGATAAATGACTAAATCATCACTTCTAAATGCT